GTACAATGTTTGAAATCTCTTGACGTTTTGAGCATCCAGTATATTACAGATGTTTTGAACAGATGACTTAAGTCAACAGATGTACAGCTGACTGCAGATGATAACAGGATTTTGACAAATGATTAAAGATGTTTCTCATAGAGATAAATGAATTTATTGCAGAAAACTATACAATACAAATATGTTTTCTTAAAATTTTGGTACTTTCACAAATATTGCTACATTCTGCCTCTAATAACTTTATATATGCTTGTTACACTGGAAAAAGTATAATAATATCAAATTAAAAAATATATTATATCTGACTCATAGATTGTTTCCTTTAAATACACTAACATTGTTTTCTTTCAAACAGGCATAAGGTTTGTAATTAAATAATCAGTCAATGATAGACAGACAATGATAAAAAAGACAATGATAAAAAAGAATATATTGCGCTTTACAGGATATCTGTAAAGAATATAGGATAGGTTCTTGTTATTAATGAGGATTATTTTTCAAGTAATATTTTAAAAACTGGTAGTTTTATATGAATTGTTTACTTAATTACAACTACGCGCAAAAGTATTCCCCCCCCAAAGAAAAGTAAATAAAAAGGAAAAAAAGCTCCCAGAGGTTGGGGGACGTATGATTATTTTGTCATTTCGCTGACTATCTGAGTACAAATAGGTATTGCTACTTCAAACAGGACTCTGCTTGATAAAAGCTAGATATCTGATATTTTTGTCTAATTGCAAAATTGTTATAAAAATATTGCGAAGTAAACAAGATAATATATAAATAAATGCGATTTTATTCTATCAGATTCTACCAAAAATAGGATGTCGATAATATGTCAGTTAAGTAGAAAATGCAAAAATTCCAAATTTTTAGCAAGGGAATTTATTACCAAGGGCTATACATGTTAGCAAAATTTATACTATTTCACTTTTCTCTTTAAAATAGCGCATACTGTTATTGATGTTCAAAGACTTGCGATTATAAATCAAAAAAACTTTATTCTTCTTTTTCACAAGCACAACAGCCCCTTTACAGGGCCTAGCTGCCTCAAATCCCGCACTCCTTCCAACGTCTTCTATCTTCAGCCACTCCTATTCAGTTTATAATTTCTAAAGTTTCTAATTCTTTTCCAATGTCATCTGACTATCTACTCGGCGGTCTTCCTTGAGCCCTTTAGCTCAAGTTGTTTAAATGCGAAGTTTCTCCAAACATGGCCCAGCCATCTTAATCTGTTACTATGGATGACTTGTGTTATTTAGGGTTGCTTATAAAGCCTGCATAGTTCAAAGTTATATCTTGCTCTCCAAATATTGGTATTGGCCAAATATTACTGTGAGAGCTTTTCTCCCAAATATGTCCAGTGAGAACTGTATGTCTTTATTTAAAGTCTTCGTTTCACTTGCATTAAATAAAACGGGTAGTATTAGTGTTTTATATATTCATAGTTTTATTTTGAGACTTATACGATTAAAACTTACATGTCTTCTTAGCAAAACCTTCATTGCTTAGATAAAATTAATGAAAGTAAGACTCAAAATAATGCAACCTACTGCAAAATTTTCATATTGTTAATAAGTATGTTCTTGATGCCGGAATATATACAGAAGAATTACAGAAGTATTCCAAAAGATTTTTGGATTAATTTGTAAATTAATATCAGAAGTATTTGTAAATTAATCTAAAAATTATTCGACTGTGCATTTTATATTGATTGACGTGTTGGTGATAAAACATCATTTATTAATTATGTTATATGTAAATTAAATGTTAATAAAAGATTGTTGGGATTAACTGTCGACAGAAGTGTTGCTACCAAACTGTTTCAAAATATTATTAAAGAGTAGTAACAATTTTGTATCTCTGAAAGTTCTAAACTATGTCAATGTTATTAATATACTATATAATACAACATGCAAATTAAATGTTATAATATAGCGCATAAATAAATTTTGCATGCTCTTTCGTAATTTTTTCCCGGTAAAGGATTTTCCTTGCAAAGTGAAACAATAGTATATTATACATTTCTTCGGAATTTTAACATATATAAGCAGAATGAAATACATTTGCTCTTTTATACCTCGCTCATAATCTCTAAAGTTCATCGCAAAAATGTCATGAACTTATTTCTCATTTATTATCAAAGGAACGAGTCCTTTTTGCTTTCTTCTGAAATCTCTAGGATGCTCAACTGCATTTGCAGGAATACTTTTCTGGACCTGACAAGTTCAGCTATTGAAAACGTGTGTTTCTGCCAAAATCTAAGTCATAATTCATCCATTCTGGTTCTTTTCCAAGAAAATTACACATAAAAGAGAGTTTTCCAAAATAGGACAACAGGGCTTCCTAACCACCGCCACCAATAATCTCTCACAAAATTGCTATGTCTTATCCCAAGAAAAGCAAAAAAAAATTCTAACTTTTCTGCGTGAAAGATGATGGTTCAAAATGAAAGTGGACTTAAGGTTAGAAACAATTTTAAATCGCAGCCTTTGTTTAACGGACGGAATTTTCTATTTGCGCTTCGTTTCTTTTACAGAAATGATAAAAAGAAATTAATGGATGCTCATGCGCCCTGGAATGGCTTATTATCTTCAGAAATGGGAAGCTATTTCTTGGAGATTGAACTTTCTGCACTCTTTCAAAATTACTTTCGGAAAAAATAATTCACACATTCAGCAGAAACGGCATTTTTAAAGCTGGAATATTTCGATAATGAAAATAGTTTTTAGATTTTTTATGTTTCTCTTTCGGTTTATTTTATATAGATGAGTTGAAATATTCAACACGAGCTTTACCTTACGTAAAAAGAAATGCTCATTATTGAATCCAAGGTTTGTTATCACTTTTAAAATTTCTGATTTCAAAAGAAAATATCTGTATGAAATAACATAAATGAAAAATATAAAACGCCAAAATAAACTGATATAAGAGTTTTATCTCCATGCCTTTAAGATGATTTTCGGTAAATTTAAATGTTTTCCTTTTTAAATTGAGTTAAACCCATAAATTTGCATCAACACATGCCCTACAATAGGTAGCACACAATGGGATCACGTTCACCCACTATTGGTTTGATAAAATTAAATGGTGATATGAAGTTATCCTTTAAAATATCAGTTAAATATAATTAATGTACGGATATGTAGGTGAAACATAAGATATTTTTACAAGATTCTAGATGTAAATAAAAACTAAAAAAATTAAAAGTACCACAAATTTCTTTAAAGTGCCGGAAGAGTTAACGATGGAAGGAAAGTTCTTATTGAGTCAAAAGGTACATAATCCTATATTTCTATACTGGATGAAACTAGTTATTCTCCTCCAGTGGAGAAGGAAAAAAAAAAGCTAAAGTTTTCGATAAATCTGGTGAAGCAGAAATAAGTACATTTACAGAAGCTAAGTTAAGCTTCATTGCCTTCTATTTCTTAAGCTGTGATTTTGGCAGAAATATTTTGTGGTTTAAAAGATACAGAAGTTTTCTTTATTCCACACCTGGTTAGTGATTCATGCAGTAGATATTTGTGGTAAAATTGTTAGACCTACTCTGTTATTTTAAGACAGATAGAAAATTAAAGAAATTTAAAAAACTAAAGTCTCATTTATAATTTTTTCTATTGTCTGCGGCTGTTTCTTGTGATACTTCCCAAACAACTAAACATCCAATATAGAAATGGGGTATTTTATGCATACGTTATGCAAAATTACATATTCTAATCCCTGTGCAGATGAAAATATGTCCATAATCATCATCATGAACTTAAATTCATCTATAAACAGAATTCAACCAAATCATTTACGATCAATTGATGATGATAATTAATGCATTAATTTAACCGCTGTCTTCCGAAAGACGCAGTTAGCAGAACACACCGCTGTGGTATTAAAAATTACTATATTACGCACTTATGAAGGTTTCGTTCAGTAACGGGTCTGCTCATTACGATCCGTAACGATTTTTTTTGTACTACTAATGATAAACAATAGTCACAAACAACACCTGAAAATGATAAACAATTGAAAACTGCATTTACTTGCAGACAGCTGTGAAAGCATGATAACAAACTGTACCTCCCTTAAATAACGTGTTACGAAATGTATGTACAAGCGCGGTAAGATGGCTTCCATGAAAGCAGTTTTAGGGTTGCCATAAAATGGCAAGGGAAGGCAGGGTTGCCATATTTGGCTATATATATCACCCATTTGGTGACATTTGGCGACAAAATTGTTGATATACCATGGACGAATGGAGAACTTTCTGGAACGAATTCTTACCCGTTTAGCCCAGAATGTCTCATCTAGGTAGTCCGTGCGGAGACGATCGAGTTGACAGCCGGCCAGCGAGTGCCGAGTGGGTCGTCGAGTGCATCGAAGAGTCTGTTACTGTATCGCGGTTAGTGTATCGTCGAGAGAATGTGTTAAGCTCCGGGAACGACTGAACCGAAGAGTCGGGAGCTGTGCTCTGTGTGTCGTCGAGTGCATCGCGAGTTGTAGCGTGAAGAGACTCGAGAGTATGTGGAGTTCCGAGAACGACCGAGCAGAGTCGGAAGTTGTACTCTTGTGCTTTGCAGTGAAGCTGTATCCACATTTATTGCCTGACAGCGTGAAGGCTGTGTCGCTGAACGTGTCAGCGTGTTTATAACAGTTCAACGATTGTAAAAGTGTTTTGGAGCTGTCCTGACTAATATTGGCTAAATAAAGTGTGTTTCGATCCTTCATCAAGTGTCGTCGTTATTCACTCCAAATCTACGAACCCCGTACGAACGTGACGGCAGGGAAAAAAACGTAACAAACGGTTTCAATTTCTTAAGCTTCGGGAGATACTCAGTTGTCTGGAGTCGACCAGTTGTGTTTGACGTACCTCTAGGCTACAGACCACTTGCTGCCACCTGTTCATCAGAAAGGCGTCTTTTATACATATGATTAACATCATCTAACCACTAACTAGTACTTTACATATGAATGGTTAGTAATGCTTTTACAATTTTCCTTTGATTTTGCAGGTAGCAAATGATTCGAGGCAAACTATATGGCATACGGCAAACGATTCAAAGCCTACTATTCAAGTAATGTGATGTTGCATTCTGTGGTACCAAGTTTTTAAATGTTATGGTAAGGTAAAAGAAACACAATAAAAATGTTTATTGTGAATAATATTTCCATTATTTAGCATAAAAGGAGATGACATCAGATATCAGAATGAATAATTATGTATATGTGAAGAAGTTTTAAAATGTTTAAATTTTTATCTTTCTTACCAAAAAAAAAAAAAAAATACTTTTGAAATTGTTCTTTCTAAGATTGCTGCTATATTTAGAGATTTGTTAATATGAATTTATTAATACTATGTAAGGTTTTGGAATAAACATAGCTACATACTTCATTTAATATCCCTGCCAGATATTTCCTATCAATTAAAACGCTTTTCAAATTAAAGTGGCAGGCTTTCATACGAACAGACCAAGCACTAGTGGTGAAAACTTTGATACAGTCCCTACTCAACAAAATGTTTCAGTAAATGTAAAATGTACCTTATATTTTAATAGGTTAAGTAGCTATTCGCTATTATGTCGGGTAAGACATAACTTGTATGAATATTTAGGACTGAGGTAACTGATTTAGATTAGTTTTTAAAGTATAATTTTGAACATATAAATTTATTATTTTAATTAACCAGTTATTTATAATTTCAGCCTTTTCTATAATTTCACTCTTCCGTTTCCTCACAGACAATTTAAATGAGTTAAACAGTATTTAAACTGATGTTTTTAGATTGTAAATCAGAGCGTATTTCTGCCTCTGGAGGCCACGTGGCTAGGTTTTGACAGCTTTGAAAAATTTGTAGCTATTCGGCTTTGCATTATGTGCTGCCGACGTTTGAATCGATATGTCATTTAGAGTTTTCTTAACCATTTTATATTAAATTTGATTGTGTAGTCTTTGACTTCAAGTCCACGTTTTCAAATTTGAATTTTATTAATTTCATTAGTTCTTTAGTTTCATTCTTTAGTTTCATTTAGTTTAGTTGATTAGTTCTTTAGTTTCATTGCCACAAGTGGTGTTTGTTTTGTTAAGCACAAGAGATGCACTTATGTTCAAGTTCTGTTTTAATCAAAAGATTATTTTATATCTTTCAAATCTGTAGTTATTTCAGACACAGTAATAATTGGCTCAGTTAATTCTCAGTAAACATCAGTTAATAGTTTGGAAATAATTTATACTCTCAAAGCAAGTCAAACTCTAAAAACAAACGTGTGTAGTTTTTTATTAAATTTAGACAGCTTCGGGAAATAAACTGTTATTAAATTTGTAACTATCATCATGAAAACATTATTCAAGTACCTGCAATGAATTTAACATGTAAATATGGGAAACAATTTGAGTTTGGCAAAATAAACATCACGAATATACTACTGTATATTATCTCTAGGACAGGCAAACAAAAAGTAATATTTTCATACTTACGTAAATATTTCAGCTACAACATTGAAGTTTCTTTCATAAAATTCTGTAGCATATTGTGAGAAAATTTATCATCGGTAATGTATGTCCAGAAAGAATAATTAAAAAAATTCCAGCTCTTATTCTCTTTTATCGAGCACGCTGTATAACTTATATTTATCCATACACAAAATATGTCAACTACGATGTATTTTAACGATGTTAGTTTATATTTCCTTTCTTTGCGCTAGAAAATGCATACAGCACCAGCGGCTAAATAACATTTCAATAATATTGTTAACTGGAAGCTTGCAAGCAGTAACGACAAGAGTCATTATTTTCCCATTTATCATCAAAGTAGGGAATTTAATGATACTTTGCAAAGTTTTCGAATAACAAATAAAATAAAGTGGAATGCTATCTCGTATAAAACGAACTCAATTTTTTTGTCGATTATGATATAAATACGTCCAGATGCTCTGATTTGTGGCACGATATCGATACCAAAGAAGTCTCTCACCCCACGCAATTTTTCATAATTGCTAGGCAACTTTTTCCCGTGCAACTTTTAGTTTCTTTTCCTTTCTTTAGTTTCAACTAGATGAAAATGCAAATCACGTGGCATTTAAACATTTTTACGTTTCTTTAAACTGATTAATGGATCCAATTATGTAATAATATAGATTGACACTGTTGAAGAAAAACTAAAGCCAAATATATTCTCTTCATTTTTTCCCTTCCTTTGCAGTTTAGAGATAAGCATTCCTATAGTAATATAGAAAAAAGAAACGAAACCACGTTTTTCTCTATGAAACCTGGAAAAGAAGTATTAAGCGGAATGGATGTTTTTCATATGCAAATGCATGATAAATGAATGACAAAAGATTCAATAACCGTCAAAATAATGCTAGAGACTAAAAGTTTCATTGAAATTAAAAGATGAAATATTTTGTGCAAGAGATTCTAGATGAAAATTATTATTTCGAGCTTTGTACTGTTTTATTAAGTACTGTTTTCTCAAGTATTAAATAGTTTAAGATTAATTATATTGAAGAGGAAATATTAAAATTATAAATTGTAATGAAAATTGAAAAAAATGTATACTTAAACTGTTATGTTGTAAGCGGAGAAAATTCGAGTTTTAAATCTTAAAATTCTGAGAATATTCAAAAGCGATTAATAAATTTTAGTATTTCTCATTCCGGTCAGTATTAAAGATGTCACTGTAAGGTCACTTCTTTCTGACGTAACCTTCAGAACGTCCTGTATACCAGTGGTCTCAAACTGGTGGCCACAAAAGTATTTAAATTATGTGTTTGTTGCAAATGCAATCCTGCAAATATTTCAAAATTTGTAATTATCTAATTTACATCAATTTACATCAATTAATTTACATCAATGATCTAATTTACATCATTTTTCTTACCACTAGAAATGGACTAGAATAACGCAGAAGAAGGTATATAAAATGAGTAAATTAATTTACTATGTGATATACGTCTTATTCAAAGAGTTGAAGATGCAGATTTCATTATCTTTTATTCCTGATTTTTAAAAAATAAGCGCATTCTGTTACGAATTTTTGCGCAAATACTAATGGCTTTATTTCGGAATACATTTATATGACAACATCTTTTTTTCATAGTTGTGTCTTAATAAGATTAATTATATTGAACTGGAAATATTAAAATTATAAATTTAAATGAAAATTTAAAAAACTGTATACTCAAATACAAACTGTTATTTTGTAAGCGGAGAAAATTAAAGTTTTAAATTTTAAATATTATTTTATTCTATTATTTTTATTATTATTATTTTATTCTTTTCTTAATAACAAAAGAACCCGATTGACCGATGTGCATCTACAGTCTGTGATGAAGATAATTCCTAGACAGTTTTCTTCAATGCTGCAAAATGTATTAGAATCGAAATGCCATCAAATTTAGTTCAAATCAGTGAGAAAATATAAAAAAGTTAATTTATGCGCCCAAGAAAAATCTAATAAGAAAGAATACTAGGTTGTTATTATTTATTCTCAAATTTTGGCACTCTTTCTCATTAAATTAAAAAATTCTAGAATAGAAAGAAATACCTTATTTACCATATGTTTTTTTTTATTTGCCTTTAAAGTAAACTTCAATTTAGATGCGTAAATAATTTTTAAAATGTTTTAAAATTTTGAAGGCTGTTAACCTTTGCTTGCATACATTATGAAACTAATGACGCTTCCAATTCATCTAACTCTATAGCGCCCAAATTCTCTCTCCTTTCATATTTTGCCCCGAGTTCAGTCTTTTCTTTAGGAGTAGTGATTAAGGAGATGTTTCGTTTGCAGACTAAATAATAGCAGCTTCTTTTAATAGTGGCTTTTCAGAAGCATGAATTACCCTCTACTTTTTATGTCAATGACTAAGTTATTCTTTTTCTCAGATGTAAAGTTTTTTTGAGTGTTTGTGATGTCTGACACAGAAGAATAGTTTTTATAAAGAGGTAAAATTTTAAAAGCTTAGCATATTAAAAATAATTAACATATTCTTTCTCTAATTAAAAATCTAAACAAAGAGAATATATATATATACATATATGTTTATTAATCTATCTACCTATCTAAGATAGGTAGATTTGCGCATATATATGTGTGGGCTTGGAGATGAGTGTAATGGTATAGGAAGCTTAAATTTAAGAAGCATACCACACACCATCACACACACACACACACACATATATATATATATATTATTGCGTACCTATGGGTTCGTGAGTATAAAGTCGCTGAAAAACTACGACAGACACACTGGAACACTCTCGAGACTCTCCACGATACAACTCACGGTGCACTCGATACCCTCAATGATGCACATTCTCGATATACCAACTCGCGATACACTCGACGACCAACTCGATGCACTGATGATACACACTCGCGATAGACTAATTGCACTACGAGACTGGTGCTAAACTCAATAAACTACGAGACACTCGATAGACTCGCGATCGACCAAGAGACTCTGACGAGACACTCGATAGACTTGACGATGCATTCACTAGACTCGGGATAGACGCTCACTCGCTAGCTCACTAGACGAAGCATTGACTGACTGACTGCTACTTCGCATGCAGGCAGGGTGTATATAGCTTTTGGGCTGCCTTCGAGAACATTCTGGTCCAAACCGGTAAGAATTCGTTCTAGAAGGTTCTCGAATCGTCTATGGTATATCGCCAATTTTGCCGCCAGAGGGCGATTTTGCTCCAAATATGGCAACCCTGCCTTTTCTTGCCATATATACATATATATATATATATATACACATCATGTATATGTATATATATACATGCATGTATATGTATATATATACATGCATGTATATGTATATATATATATACATATATGTATGTGTGTGTTTATATATATATGTGTATATACATGTATGTATATGCATATATATATATGTGTGTGTGTGTGTGTATGTGTATATACATGTATGTATATGTGTGTATATATGTATATATACATAAACAGTTATATGAACTGAAAGTCAGAATTTCCAAACCCAAATCTTTTCTTCCTCAATAGGCAGCCATCATGGATTAAGTCATTTTCACTACTAGCAAATCTGCCGCTTCTTGCTCTATAAAAATTATATTTTAAAGTGTAACGGTTCCGATTTAGTTCTTTAAGACATTTTGTAGGCTTAGAAATGTGTGTCCGCAAGAAATAAAAAGTAGTAGTAATTCTTCCTCGACTGCTTTTTATTGTATCTACATGACTTCTAGTACTTCTAAAGTGTGGACCAACATTAAATAATAATGTTTTAGTTGATTTAAACAATAGTATTATTTTTATTTTTTGTTTTTACTGAACACTACTTAACTCGTGTCTTTCATGCATTACAAACCATCAAACTGTCGTC